CAAAACCCCAAAACCCCAAAACCCCAAAACCCCAAAACCCCAAAACCCCATGAGCTCACAGTAAGGTCAAATAGCCTTAAGGATATTATTGATTAAATAAGCAAAAAAATTAAACCGCGAAAGCACGATAAATTATATTGCTAATTGTACTTAATATAGTTATTTAAATTACAAATTTAAAATCCCGCCAATCCTTAATACAATGGATAGAACGAATTCAAACACTGAAAATCAAGATATTACTCTTTAAGATATGACTAATCAAACCTCAGACCTCACTATGAATGTGGAAAAGCAAGTTACCAAGAGAAATGGTGAATCCTAATTAATGCAAGTAAATAAAATTAGAACTAGACTCTAAAACTTGCTTGAAGGTCTTGCACATAAGCACATTGACCTCGACATCATTTTAAATAAAGTCATTTCATATGCTTAAAATGGTAACATTATTCTAGTAAACTTAAACTTATTATATAGGCATCAAAACTACTGAACTCGATAATCTAATTGCTGAGACATCCGCATATCTTAACATCTTACATCCAGATTACGGAAGACTAGCAGCTAGAGTTGCTGTCACTTGTCTCCACAAAGTTACATCTGATAGCTTCATGGAAACAATTTCAACTCTTTATAATTACACAGAGGTCGAAAGTAAGATAAACTCAACTAAATAAGTCATAATAATTTAAAATAGGCGGGGATGCTGCTTTGATCTCTCATGAAGTGTATGAGATAGTTCTGTAGCATTAAGAAAAACTTTAAGCTGCTCTTAACTATAAACGTGATTATGACTACGATTACTTCGGATATAAGACTCTTGAACGAGCATATCTTTTGAAAGTCAATGGAAAGATCGTTGAAAGACCCCAGCATATGCTTCTCAGAGTTTCAGTAGGTATCCACAAAACTGATATTGATGCTGCAATTGAGACATATAACTTAATGAGTGATAGATGGTTCACTCATGCAACCCCTACTCTTTTCAACGCTGGTACCCCAAAACCATAAATGAGTAGCTGTTTCCTTTTAATGATGAAGGATGACTCTATTCACGGAATATATGATACTCTTAAGAACGTTGCTTTGATTTCTAAGAGTGCTGGTGGAGTTGGACTTGCTGTTCACAATATCAGAGCCACAGGTAGTTACATCAAGGGAACTAATGGACACTCAAATGGACTTGTTCCCATGCTCAGAGTTTTCAATGAAACTGCTAGATATGTTGACCAAGGTGGTGGAAAGAGAAAGGGTTCATTCGCTATCTACTTAGAGCCATGGCATGCTGATGTCTTTGACTTCCTTCAACTCAGAAAGAACCATGGAAAAGAAGAATAAAGAGCTAGAGATTTATTCTTTGCTCTCTGGGTTCCAGATCTTTTCATGAAGAGGGTAAGAGACAACGGTGATTGGACTCTTTTCTGTCCAAATGAAGCCAAAGGCCTCTATGAAGTTCACGGAGAAGAGTTTGAAGCCTTATATACTAAATATGAATCCCAAGGTATTGGAAGAAAGACTATCAAGGCAATGAAACTTTGGGAATCAATTATTGAAAGTTAAATTGAGACAGGTACTCCCTACATGCTTTATAAAGATCACGCTAATGGAAAATCAAACCAAAAGAATCTTGGAACAATAAAGAGTTCTAATCTATGTTGTGAGATCATTGAATATACTTCTCCAGATGAAATTGCTGTGTGCAATCTTGCCTCAATATCACTCCCTAGATACATAACAAATGGAGTCTTTGATTATGAGAAACTTCATAAAGTAACTTTCTAAGTTACCAAGAATCTTAACAGAATCATTGATGGCAATTACTATCCTTGCGATGAGGCCAAAAACTCAAATATGAGACATAGACCAATCGGTATCGGTGTTTAGGGACTAGCTGATGCCCTTATGCTTCTCAAAATTCCATTTGAAGATGAGAGAGCCTATCAGTTCAATCAAGAAATTTTTGAAACAATTTATCATGCATCTATGGAATCAAGTATGGAACTTGCCAAAGTAGAGGGGGCTTATCAATCTTTCCCAGGATCTCCATTAAGTCAGGGTCTATTCCAATATGATCTTTGGAATGAAAAACTTCCAACAAATAGATACGATTGGGATAAATTGAGAGCTGATGTCATCAAGTTCGGTGCAAGAAATTCACTTTTGGTTGCTCCTATGCCAACTGCTTCAACTTCCCAAATCTTAGGTAATAACGAAAGTTTCGAGCCATACACAACAAACATCTATACCAGAAGAGTACTTGCCGGTGAATTCGTGTGCGTCAATCCTCATTTGGTTAGAGATCTCATCAATATTAACTTATGGAATGATGAGGTCCGTAATCAGTTGGTGGCTCACAATGGTAGTGTATAACAGATTAAAGAAATCCCTCAAGAATTGAAAAATCTCTACAAAACTATTTGGGAAATTTCATAAAAGCAGCTCATTAATTTGGCCAGAGCTAGAGCACCTTTCATCTGTCAAAGTTAGAGCTTAAACATATATATGGCTGAAGCTACCTTTACCAAACTTAGTAGTGCTCATTTCTATGCTTGGCAATAGGGACTAAAAACTGGTCAATATTATCTTAGAACAAGACCAGCCAGAGATGCCATTAAGTTCACCTTGAACGTTGAATCTCTAATGAAATGCTCTGATGGTAAGGGAGCTATGTTCGATCATATGAACACAAAAAATCTTACCGCAAGTGAAATGGAATAATAGAAGAAAAAGAAGAGAAAGATTAACGATATTTCAAACACAATTACAAATACAGCTGAGACTGTTAAGGAAATTGAATTCAAGCAGCCAGCACCAGTAAAGAAAACAGCTCAAGAAATAAAGGAGTGCCCATTCAATCCATTTGGAGATGATTCATGCGATATGTGCGGATCTTGAGTCCTTCTCAGTCACAATAACTACTATATAGAGTATTTAATTGATATTGATATATTTTATTGGCTTATATAATTACTTTTCTTTCACTTTCTTAAAACGGAGGTTTATGGGGTTTTGGGGTTTTGGGGAGATCGGAAGA